CTCTGTGTTTGGTTTATAAGGATAAAATTGGCAGTGATGCTCATCTTTGTGATCTAAACTGGATAGTGCAGTGGTTTAGGTGTCTGGCTGTGGAGCCCGAGGATGAGAGTTGAATTCTCCACTGTGCCTCCTTGACTAGTCTCAATGATCTGTAGGGTCCCTTTCAGCTTTGCAGTTCCAAGATATTTCCTTCAAAAACTTCGTGCCTCTCATCTTCTGCTAACAGAATTTGATATTTCCTTCTCATTTCTGTGCTTGTGTCCACCACTCAGCTTTGTTGCCATTAGCCTCTTCCTCACCTCCCCCGCATTGTTTTTCTTTGTCAGTACCGTATAGCGATGAACTTTTTGCCATCGCAAGAGCAATCGCTTTGCGATGGCCCTTATGGGGAAATTTCGCTTTGCGATGATCGCTTCCCCGCGATCATTGCAAAGCCTCCATTTTCAGCCAGCTGATCGGCGGTTTCAAAATGGCTGCTGGGTAAACAAAATGGGCGCCCCGCTGTTTTGCCTCGCTTTAGAGGCACCGAAAATTGCTGCCGCAATGGAGGATTTTCGCATGAGGTTAGTTTTTAAGCTCATAGGAACACATTAAACACGTTTTAATGCACTTCTATGGGCTTGATGAAATCGCATAGCAGCGATTTTTGCTGCATGGATTAACATCGCTAAGCGAGGCATCACTGCAGATGTTTTATATACATGCCTTGGTTCAATCATCAATCCATATGGAGATGACAGCCAAGAAAGCTGCCAAGAAAAAAACTTATTTCTAGGTGATGTACTGCTACTGGAGGGGGAAGGAGCATAAGACATCCCCATTCCCAGAGACGCATGCACACATACACAGATGTCCCATAGCAATTAGTGTTAGGGAAAGAAACTTCCACTGATGTCAGTCTTCTGTGAAATTTGGCAGCTGGGGGAGGAAATGGTCGTTCTCTGCAAGCTGCACACCACCCAATCTCCATCATAGCAACTACTCTTAGAGAAAGAAACTTGAAATGTTGTAACAAGGCCAGTGGGGTAGAAGGGAAGTACAAGAAATGACATAGGTAATGCAGAACTTGGAAAAGTTCCTACAACCCCCGGAATCCCAGTGATTCTGCTGGAAGGGAGGTTCTGGAAGCTGCAGTCTAAGAAGTAACTTTCCCCAGCATTGCAGGAAGTGGGATTGGAGAGAGTGAACACTGTGTTTTCCTGTTCTGCAGGGAGGGGCTGAGAGAGATGCCACTGAGTGCTTTTTTCCTTGACCTGCTTGTGTCTTCCTCTATCTCTGGTGTGGGCTAGGGGAAAGGCACAGCTTTAATGGGCTTTTTAGACTTGAACTCCAAAGACCATGCTACCTGGGATTTGCAAGAATTGTAGCCCCTTCCCAATGTTCTCAAGTTCTGGAAGAATGTCACTAAGTCCTCTGGTATTGCAAGAAGAGACAAGACCCTAAAACCCACAGAGCATAGGACGGAAGGGAAAGAAAGCCCAGTTTCTTACTCCCTTAGTCCTTGTTTGTGCTCCCCTTCCCTCTGTCTCCTCTATGCTGCCTAGTTCTTTCACCATCTACTCTGCTTCCACCTTCCACCTTCCCAACCCTGCATGCCTCTTCCCTTTCCTTCTTCTCCCTCATCCTCTCCCTATACTGCTCTTTCTTCTGCCTAAAGCTCCAGTCCCCTCACAAATAACATTTTGATTCCCTGTCCCTTTCCACTGAATTTTACTTTATTCTGAATTTAATCTGTAGAGGTCATGATGGCTGATGAATAAGGGTAATTAACTGAAGGAAAATGCTTAGATTTTGAAACAAGGTCTGGGTAGGAATTGGGAAAGTAAATTGGAAGAGTGACCTTTGGTTTGAGATGCAAATAAATTAAGTTTTTCAAAAAGTGTGATTTTGAGGGAAAATGAATTGACGGGCTTTGCCATCTCCAAATGGTCACATAGCCTACCAGTTGTGTGTAATTTCGCATATATTAGTACAAATTAGCATATGCAAATTTCATGCAGGTTTTGTCCAATGGAACTATTTTTCATCTCTCTTACATGCCACTCATTCCTGGTTTGCAGTTAAATCCCAGTACAAACTGCATGGTAGATGTCTGTCACATATGAAGTTATCCAGAACAGAAACTATCATTCCCTCTTAAAGCGAAGGCTGGTGGTTGATCATCGATCCATTTGGAAGGGAAACAGCACAATCCAGAAGGGAGAAATTTGCACATACAGATGAGACATTTGCACATGCCCTTCTGTGTTCCTGAAATGTCCCTTCTACTTTCTTCATTCCACAAGGGGTGGACAGAAATGATAGGTTCCTAATCTAGGAGTAAGCACACTCTAGAAGATAGCATGTTATCAAGGGATGGTGTCCCACATCTGCCTTTCTAAATGGTAGATGTGGGGCACCATCCCATATTTTGTACCCTTGTGCTACTCTGTATGCTGAGCTGATGATTGAAGAGCATGACCATTGCTCATGCATCTTTGAAGAAAGGAAAGTGGTTGTGGGCAGCCTTAAAGATCATGAAGGTTCTGCCCTCCTAAGAGCATTTTCATAGGGCACGTAAACAGGCCTGAGTTTAGTTAGGTGGTCCTAACTAAAGGAAGCAGTTTGAATCAATGGATGAACATATGTGTAGACTCACTATTCAGCTGTTGACTTAATGGCTTTGCTGTACTTGTGATTACCCATTATATATGTTTAATTAGTTCTATGCCATCAAGTTGAAACTGACTTAGGGCTTTCAAGGAAAGTGAGATATTTAAGGAGTGGTTTTACCCACTCCACTCCCCCAGTGAGCTTCCATGGCTAAGTGGGGATTTGAACCTTGGTCTATCACTCTATCCACTACACCATACTGTGTAGTGTGGTGGCTTATTTGAAATAGGCCATTGTTAATGGAGAAAGTTATGTAATGCAACTGAGGCTTTGGATTGTTTTTCACATTCCTAAGTGGACTTGTGTGTGTGTAAATACCCTTGCCATGCACTTGAGCCTTTTCAGCTGATTGTGTGCATGTGTGGATTCTGTTGGTATGAGAAAGAAAGAAAAGTAGAAACATCTTGGAATAAAATGCACATCCTTGTCAATGCAGACAGCATATTGGAATCACACGCATGGGAAATACAATTGTGAAAATAATATGGTTTTCCTCCTTGCCTTTGATAGCTACAATCTGTTTAGAAGGATTCTCTTTACAACTTGTGTGGCTATGTATTATCTTGCCACCATGACTGCAGTGATGATATGCAGCACAAAAATTAACGTTCTACGTGGCAATTCTAAAAATTGGGTCAGTCCAAACAAAAAAATATATAACTTTGAAACTGCAATTGATACCTAGAGAAAGTTTCAAAAAATATTCTTCATAATTGCTTTGTGTTTAGGGGAGAACTGGTTAATTGATGAAAAAAGCAGTTGGGTTCTGGGATTTTCTCTTGCTTGGTGTCTCTTTGTGAATGGTAGTGAGCACAAGAGACACCTGCAGAACATCTTGTTTGCTGCCCTCAGTGTTGTCAACATTCAGGGTGCCCTTTGCTATGTAAAGCTTGGGATCCTTTTTTCTGGCTGCTAAAGCAGGCATGATATTATGCAGGAATACCGGACCATTTCCTGGCTTTTTGAACTGTTTGGACACAGAAACACAATATCCCACATTCATTAACTGGAGATATTCTGAAGAATTTAATCAATTTATTCTATCCACTTTTTATCTTCTCTTTATTTTAATGTTAATCCAAATTGGAAGTCATGAGATATTTGTCGCCCACAGCTGATTAATTTCTTGGATCAACTGTTCAATGAAGCTATGCCTCCCAGGAAGGGAAAATACAGAACCAGGCGGTGCAAAAGATAATTTAAAAAAAGACACAAAAATGGCTGATTGTTGTGCCGACGTTCTTGTAAACATTCTCAAAGCCAACTGGTTAGAAACTGTGTTGTTGATGGTGAGGACATGCCGTGCACACACAGACGGAGCCAATGAGGTTACACTCTATCTCATGTTTTGTGTTAATTTGGGCATGATGATGTCAGGTCAGCTATATGTTAGTCCCCCACCCTCGCCCCCACACCAGCACCAAGAATGGTAAAAAATCTGTGACATTGTTGAAGCAAAATAGTAGTCTGGGAAAATATACAACATGGTGTATTTGTGGTTTTCTTTTGTTCCACCTTTCTCCCATCTATGATGCCACCCTAGCAATTGCTGGAAGCTATTCCAGTTGTTGATGCAAAGTATTTTGGAATGACTTGGTTTGAAGAGGCAGTTAAGACCCAGTTGCTTTACAGAAGACGAGTTTCCCCTAGAGAGGAAAACTAGTAAACTGGTCATAACAGATCCACCTAGCTGTCAGAAGTGTCAGGGAGCTTGGCTCTGGAGGGCTTAGGTAACAGGGATGTAGCATCATCATTCCAACAGCCCTTTCTTCCGGGCATCATCACTTCATGGCCTTTGACCTAAGGTAACCCTTTTTTGTGTTTTTCTTTTCGCCCTTTGCCTGGCTTTCTTTCTTCTTTAGACCTCATTCCATTATTTCCTCCCAAGACGGCAATGCCTGTTCTCCTCAAGTGTGGTCAAGTTGCTTCAAAGATCCGGCGACCCTAATAGGAGTTGCACGTCGGAAGGTACCGCTGCTCCACCGAAGGAGAGAGCCAGGATGGTCCAACCCCTATTGATCAGGATGCACAGAGGGAGGGACGAGACCTCCAAGACAAGGGGATCCTTGAAAGGGAGCGCACAGAAGCCCCCCAACTCTTTCAAGACCGCCTCAGAGTCGGGCTGCTTTCCCTTTGGCTCGCCTTTTGCAGGGCAAGCAGCTCCAGCTTTTCCTCCGGTGGCCTGATTCGGTTCCTGCGCGCTTCCTCTCTCGTTCCTGAAGTTCCCTAAAGGTTTCCCCTTCCCTGGCAAGAAGACAGGGAAGGCGTGTCCTTATCTCTTTCCTCCTCCTCCTCCTCCTCCTCGTCAAGGCAGCCGCTTGCCGCTGCCGCTGCGGGAAGCAGTTTGGAGCTATAAAAGCGCGGATCCCACGCCGCCGGGAGCTTCACTCGCCCGCCCGAGCTTCCGCGTGTCTTGATCCGCACCGAGGAGGCAACGCGGAGAGGAGCGCAACGCCGGCGCCTCTGCGTGTGTGCTCTGTGTGCGTGTGTGCGTGTGCGCGCAGCCCGAGGGCACAGGAAAGGGGGGGCGCAGAGCCAGGGAGGCGCAGAGTCACCGAGGGCGCCGGGCAAGCCCAATGCGTGGACTAGGTGCCTTCGCAACATGCTGGAGCTACAGAGCCGCTGAAAGGAGTTTGCCCGCAGCTGCTGGAGCCGGATTGTAGCGCTCTCGTTCCTTATGAAGAAGGCACACGTGAGTAGCCGAGCGGGGAAGCGCTGCGCCCTGGCACGTAGCCGGACTTGCCCCCCCCCCAGTTTAGGATCGTGATCGTCGTGTGTCTCCTCGCCCGTTAGATTTGCGCTCGAGGGTCCGAGGACGGAGGGAGGGCGCCGCTTGCCTCCGGGAATGTCGAGGAAGGCTGCGTGACTCCGGCTCGTCTGGCAGGAGCTCCGAGCGTCTTTTTTCCCCTTCTCTTTTCTTTTAACCCCGCGTGGGATCGGGTGGCGCAGGAAGATCGCCCGTCGTCGACCCCGTTCGCGACCGACGGGCACGGGGGCGGGGGACGGGGCGCTTGGAGGCGCTGTTCCGAGTCCGCTGCCCCCAGCGGTGCCTGCCGGGGGGCGAGCGCGGTTCCCCAGGCTCTCCTTATCGGCTCTGTCCTTTGTACAATTCCTACTCTGCGCGCGTGTGGTGGGGAAATTCCTGCCTAGCGTTGATAGGACGGGGCACTATTAATAGAGGATGCATTATAAAGGATGTGAATTATGCACGGACTAGATAAGGAGCCGCAGAAGCAGTTTTCACGGAACCCGCCTGGTTTAAACGTAGCTGGAAGACAGAGGCAGGCATGCAGCGGCATCAGTCCAGCAGCCCTTGGTGCTGGGCATCCATCCCTTCATGGCCGTCGACCCGAGGGCCGGACTTGGTGCCTTGATCGGAGCTCCTTCCATTCTTTCCTTCCGAAAGGGCGATGGCGGTTGTCCCGAAGTACCATCAAGTTGCGTCAGACTTAAGGCAACCCTAAGAGGGTTTTCGAGTTCAAGGGGGTGGCTTTACTAGTTCCACCCCCTGAGTAAATTTTCCCAGCCAAGTGAGAGATTTGAATCCAGTTCTCAGGGCACTCTTGTCAGCTATCCTGTGCTGGTTGTCACAGGCAATGACTGTACCTACTGCCTGGGGTGTGGGGCAGCATGAAGGAAGCATTTGCAGATAAAAGAACTGGAAAAATGAACACTCTGGGTCCCCCCCCCTTCTTTCTTTTTGGATAATTGTAGGAAACACTGCTGTGTGAGTTGTAGGAGACAGGCAACATGCTCCGAACTTGGGTCTGATCTCGCTTGGAAGGAGTGACATGCGTCTCTTATCATAGGCACAAAGTCAATGCCTTCCCCTCCTTTTCCCAGAAACATGTGTGTGTATGTGTGTGTAATATTCTATAATATATATACATTGGTGGTATGTTGAAAAGTGTACCAGTCAGTCCTTCCCCCCACCACCACCACCACCACCAAGGAGAGTGATGAAACAGGGAGCCTCTCCACTTTGGAAAATTTAGAATTTTACCTCACACAAATTTGTCACCATCTGAAATCTTAGCAATGTCATTTTAATATCTATTATGGAGAGTCTTTGGCCTTGCAGATGTTTTAGAAAATAGCTCTCATAATCCATTCTCATTGGCTGTGCTTGCCAGGATTTCTGGGATTGGCAATCCAAAACTTGGGCAGGTCTGCTGCCCTGTAGGAAAGGCATATTCCTGCAAGCTTTACTTTTGATTGGGCAGCCTTTAAAACTGCAGGAGGTGCACAGAAAGAGTCTGACTGGGCAGCATGCTGAGAGGCAAATTGCCAAATGCCTGTAGAGGCCTAGACCTGGAGGAACGCTTTAGAGTCATCAATCTTCTGAGAGCTAGCTTCTAGGCAGCAAAAAAGGCCAGTGAGGGACTTGAAAAGGAAGACGTTACAAAGCACAGCAACGATGCGAAAGGACGTGCAGTTCATTTCATTGTACTCTTAAGACCTGGCTTCAGATCCTTTGGCAAAAGGGGGGGGGATTTTATTTTTGAAGAGAAGGTTACATTCTAAATTAATGAAACTGACATGGTAGGTCCTGTCCAGTTAGGCTGGGCAGCCAGCCTTGGCTATTCCAGACCATATGGCTCTGCTCAGGAGGACCTTTCTGGAATGCCTCTTTCTGACCCAGCAGTGGAGTATCTACCAGACCTCAAGCAATTAGGCTTCCCACAAGCTGAAATTCAAGGAGATAAGACTTGGTTGAGCATGCTGCAGACAGATTTGGAGTTTCTGGCTTGTAAGGAAGGAGAAATTACTTGGGCAGAAAAATATCTCTTCCTGCTGAAAAGAGTTAGATGTTCCATTGACCCAAGATATAGAGAAGGGCATGAACAATGGTCTAGTCCCTTGAAGGTGTTAGGGCAGAAGAAGCTTTAAGCAATAAGCAGAAGAGGCATGTACTCATCAGAGGACTTCTCCAGACAAAGCATTTGTTCCCTGAACTGTGACTGGTTTAGCACAGATGTTGTCAATAACTGTCCTCCACATCCATCTGACAAAGTTTTTCTTGGTAAAAAAAAAAAGGGGGGGGGAATCCCTGACTTCCTATGCTTTTTTGCTCTCTTTTGAAGGCTAGCTTTTTAGTGGTTGTTGTTTCTGTTTGTCATGGAGGGTGGTGTGTGGTGGTAAGGCATTTGCCATTAAGTTCATTTCTGCAGTTGTACCATCTTGATTGGAAGGTTTCACTTTGACATTAGTGCAGAATAGTAGCCCCGGAACAGAAGACCCAGCAGGGGGGTTATTTTACATTTATTCTTGAAAAGGGTTTCTGCATTTTCGTAGCAGAGAGCTGGAGAGAAGCACTTTTAAAAGAAGGTGCTTTTCATGTTCGTTACAGACATGAATCTCAGTAAGTCCAGCACTTTATGACAACCTAGACAAACTGAGGAGATTTTTCCCTGTCTGGAAGAGCTGAGGGTGTGGAAAAGATTTTGTTCCGTTTCCTTTCCCTGCCGCCCTCCCGGGATCTGTAGTCCAAAAACAACTTCTCCATGCTCTGCCCCCATTTTAACAACAGTAATATTTTACACTCAAGACAAATGGAAACTCATCCTGTCGATAGTAAAGCTAAATGCCCCTCATTTTTTCCTGCTCTTTGCTCATGATAACACTGCTGAATTCAAGTAGATAGAGGTTAAATTGAGGGAAGTTTCCCTTAAGGTATGCATATAGGTTTGTCATCAAAATAAGTTCTTGCCATACTGAATGACCTCTAGGCATCTTCAGAGTATGATGTAACAAGGCAGTAGATCACACTACATCATCTGTTGTTTCATGTAGTCTCTACAATATGCCTCTAATGTTACCATACTTGGATCTTTCTTGTTTCTACTGCAGCATTTTTGTGTTAGGAACTTGCATTAAATATTTAAATTGCTGTTTCCAGATTCATCCTAGGCTTGTTTACTCTTAAGTAAATCCTTCGTGTTGAACATGGCTTGCTTCCTGGTAAGCATGCTTAGTTTTGTAACTTAAGGTTGAAATGCTAAGTGTGTTTGTTTAATGGAGAGTAAGTGTTGAAAAGGCCAGTGATAGTGTTCATGATCAGCTGTAAAACCTAAGCTTTTGAACATCTAGTATACATTGGGCAGGAGAGGAACAGATCAGTGAAATGATTTTTTTAAAGAAAAAAACTTGAAGTTTCACCTGGAAAGATATCTCAAGAAAGATATGACTTACTCTTACAAATGCTTTCGTATGCAAATGTCCAAGTGCATTGTAAATAGAACATTGAAGTTTTATTACAGTTAGGTGCCTAGCTGTGTGGCTTATATACTTAGAAGAATCAAGAACACTGTTGCAAATTTAAGAGTGTGATACAACAGGAAAGCTTTATTGTTGTGTAGTTTATGCACTTGTGAAGAAAAGCCTGGAATGAGGTGATACTAACTCACACTATGTGTTAACGGTTTTCAAAGCTGAGAATTCTGCAATATGCCTTTCTATTTTTAAAAAAGCCACACAGTAGTAACATCTTTCAGATTAGGTGTTGAGTGTTCAGTCATAAACATTCTCATTGACAGTAATCACACTGACATAATCCCATTGAAGGATTAATCTGGTGAGAAAAGTTGCAAGATGAGAAACTTGGTAAATAAATGGTGTATGTGTGTGGGGAAAGGAGATGTGTGTAATTTTCATTCTCGTATTCAAGACAATAAAAGAATTTACAATAATTCTGATAGGCAAGGGGGGAAGCTGGCTCATAGGAGCACGAGAATATGTTGGACTCAGGACTATATATGTGTCATTATTGGCCAAGGTGCAGTTCTCTATGATATACAGTACTGTATTCTGAAACATGCTTTTCTAGAGGCACCTCACACAGGCTGCTGAAACTGTATGTCAGGCAGTGAAATATGAAATTTCGTAGCAGAGAAATTTGGTGATACTGGGGACAAAGAGTGTCAAAATTTAACCTTCTGGCTAGACATGCAAACTTTAGGAGCCATTAGAAGTGGAAAAGAGCTAGAGGCAAAAAGAATGCAACTCTTTTTTGTTAAGTGGGTACATTCATTGCCAGCAGTTACTTGCCCTCCAGGGCTTCTGTGTGAGAACACAGGCCTGGTCATACAGCATTCTTGCTTCGGCAAGGGAGTCTTTGGGCAAAAGTAAGGCAGCCCAGGTTGTGCAAGAGAAATCCTGAAGGAACCATCAAGTAGGGGAACAAGAAATTTTATTCTGGCCTGGGAGAATAACTGAATAGGACCTCAAAAGCCTATTTTCACTTATTTGGGAACAATTCCTGCTGGCTGTGTTATTAAGAAAAAGCAAGTTTCTATGTGACTGAATGACTGTTGCATTTTGGCTCCAAAGCATGTGGAGAGCTCCAGTTTTTTTGGGTTCAGTGGCAAGTCAGTCATTATGAGCCCAGTTCTCATGCACTCGTAGGAGCAAACGGCAGTCAAACCTACTGACCTGTATTACTGAGATGGTTCAGAAAAACGAAATGTCAGACTGAAAAAACTTGGAGTGAGGGAAAGAAGCAGAACCAGTTGAGAAGCACAGCAAGAAAGGCCCAGAGATCACCTGCTTTAATTACCACAAGCAGTTGCAGATTTGCTGAGCTGGAAATAAAGCTGGATTTTAAATTAATTCAGCTTCTTGATGAGTCAGAGTGAGACAATTCATTTTGCAGAGGTAAGCCACAGAAATATTGCTGCTGCTGCTGCTGCTGCT